GGGGCCCAAGTATTTCGGCCATCTTCTGTTGCTTTCCTTGGTACATTCGCAGGGAGCTGGATCAGAAGTGGAGCAGCCAGTATACAACCCAGCACGTAGCTTAACTCACCGTGCCACAATATTGGGCCCCTGAAGATTTCTATTTTTAGTACTTGAATCTTTAATTGGAATGTTTTGCTGGTAGGAGGAGGGGGTCTCTAACTTACTCTATTCTGCAGAACCAATTATGCCATCCTTTTCTGAGTTGAAAAACTATTAAAGCTACTTTACATATTAGCTGTCTTAATTCTGTTTCTGAACTTTTTCTATCCATTGAGCTATTTCTCTGTGCAACACTAAACTGTTTTGATTAAAATTAACACTAAACTTAAATCTCTACTAGGGCAAGACCCCTATGACTTCTTTTTTGAAACTTCAGTCCAATTCTTACACTTTTACTCTTCTGTATGAGCTTTCAACTTATTGTATACCCTCCATTTTAAAAAATAATTGGATTCTTATTAGATTTTAACAATCTAATGTTGATGGCTGGCTTTCATTTCTTACTAGAAATTTTGTGTTAAGACATTTTTATCAAAGGCAAATATCTTTTTTAAAAAAAGAAATGCATACACAGAATTTAAATTCACTTGTTTAAATTTTAAATGGAAGTTCTCATTATGGATTATATTTACCTAATCCATGAAACATTTTAGATGTTCAAAGTCTAACAAGGATCTTGGTCTCTGCTCCCACTTATTCCCAAGCATAATTAAGTGCTATTTGGAATCTCTGCTCAGAAACATAAAAAATGATGTTATCTTTAAATAATCTAGCAAAACACCATTCTTAGGCATGTTTAGAAAGAAAATGCCCTATGTCACCAAAGAATAGGACAGAATTTGAAAATGTGGGGTGTTTTTTCCATGACATTACATTTGAAGAAATAATCTTTGCAGGAAAGGGAGCAAAACAGATTTGTGTTGTAATTAGCGAACATTTTTTCTCACCTACTTATTTCAGGCCATTAATTTAAAGGATAAGGAATCACACAAGTGCTTTTGCTTAACTTTATGAGCCAAACTACAAGATACAACACTTACGGTTGAAATGTGCTTCCTGTTCTCTTGGACATTGATTCCGTTTCCTTCCTTCTTAGTGCCAAAAATATCTAACAGTGGTGCTATAAAGAAGACTTGCCTAGGAGCTGCCAAATAACCAAATTATATACCCAGTTGTACCTGCCCCATTTTAGCTGTGTGGCCTTGCCATTCCAGCCCACAAGTGCAATGTGAATGTTAAAGTCTACCAGTGCACCAGACCTCGCGGATGAGTCGGAAGAAGTTCAACGAATGGGTCAGTAAGCAGACTAAAGGAGTTTTCAGAAAAAGAATTGTCTTTCTCTCATTTTAAAATGCTAACCTATTTATTTTTGGAGTCCAAAATTTAAAGCTATTCCAGTGAAGAAAAAAGAAAGAAGCTAATGAGCTTCCATACTCACCATGAACTGAGTCTGTCATTTGACTTTTGTCGTAAAAATTTACCTAATTCACAAAACGTTATTTTCAAAGAATTTGGTGCCTTGGAAAATAGAGCTGAGTGTGCTTTGAAAAGGCACAGTGAGCCAAGGAGGGAGGAAGTAAAGGTCTGCTCTTCCTACGCCAACGCTGCTCTCCAAGCTTTCCCTGAAGTGAGATTAGCTTCAGAGGGAAGCTGGGAAAAGGCATGCTGGGGCCAGCTCCAGCGGGTAAGTCAGGGGAAGACCTAGGATCTTCCCTGGTAAGAACTGGAGGCAAACTGGATTATGCCAGGGAAACTTCTAGACATTTACAATGATCAAAAGCACTTTGTAATGACAGCTGCTATCACTGGCTATTGTTCTGTGCTTTCCAAATCTTAGTTTAACACTATTTTTTTTTTTTTTTTTGACAGGCAGAGTTAGACAGTGAGAGAGAGAGAGAGAGAAAGAGAGAGTTATAGACAGTGAGAGAGAGACAGAGAGAAAGGTCTTGCTTCCGTTGGTTCACTCCCCTAATGGCTGCTACGGCCAGCACTGCGCCGATCCGAAGCCAGGAGCTGGGTACTTTCTTCCTGGTCTCCCATGTGGATACAGGGCCCACGGCTGGCGCTGCACCGATCTGAAGGCAGGAGCCAGGTGCTTCTCCTGGTCTCCCATGTGGGTGCAGGGCCCAAGCACTTGGGCCATCCTCCACTGCCTTCCCAGGCCACAGCAGAGAGCTGGACTGGAAGAGGAGCAACCGGGACAGAATCCGGCGCCCCAACCGGGACCAGAACTCGGGGTGCTGGCGCCACAGGCGGAGGATTAGCCAAGTGAGCCGCGGTGCCGGCCTACATTTTTCAAATAAAATAAAGTTGAGCACTCAACTGATTGCCTGGGAAATTGATGAAATTGAGGTGTTTCCATTAATTGCTGACATAATTTTTCTTTTTAATCAGTTTTAAACTTGGCTTACATATCACTTCTTTTTTTAAAAACCAGAAGTTTGTTTGTTTGTTTGTTTTTTAGTTTATTTAAAAGGCAGAGTTACAGACAGTGAGAGATCTTCCATCCACTGGTTCACTCCCCAAATGGCCACAATGGCCAAGGCTGGGTCAGACCGAAGCCAGGAACCAGGAGTTTCTTCCAGGTCTCCCACATGGGTGGCAGGGGCTCAAGTGCTTGGGCCAGCTTTCGCTGCTTTCCCAGGCACATCAGCAGGGAGCTGGATCAGAAATGGATCAGCTGGGACTCGTACCGGTAAACCCATATGGAATGCCAGCATTAAAGGCAGCAGCTTAACTCACTATACTACACCATCAGCTCCTTAAATATCTTTTCTTGAGGACTAAAGAATTCTAGAGAGCACAGAGCACTCTTCCTTAAAAATTCCTTTGATAATATTTATTTTGAGTAATTTTATGTATGTATGTATTTATGTATTTATTTATTTGAAAGGCAGAGAAACAGAGAGCAAGCTTCGCATTCACTGGCTCACTCTCCAAATGCTCCCAACAGTCCCACATAGGAGGCTGAAGCTGAGAATCAGAAATACAATCCAGATCTCCCATGTGGGTGGCAGAATCCTAACTACTAGAGCCATCATCTGCTGCCTTACAGGGTGCATTTAGCAGAAAGATAGAATTGGAAACAGAGCTGGGTCTCAGACCCAGCCATTCCAGTAAGGGATGCACGTGTCCCAAGTGTCTGGCCAAACACCTACTGTGATACTGTTTTAATGTGACTTAGAATCCAGCAATATCAGAGCCTGCGTTGTGGCATAACAGGTTAAGTTCCTGCCTGTGATGACAATATCCCTAATGAGTGCCAGTTCAAGTCTCAGCTGTTCCACTTCCAATCCAGCTCCCTGCTAATGGCCTGGGAAAGCAGTGGAAGACGTCCCAAATGCTTGGGCCCCTGAACCCACGTGGGAGACCCAGAAGAAGCTTGGGGCTCCTGACTTCAGATCAGCCCAGCCCCGGTCGTTGCAGCCATTTGGGGAGTGACCCAGGAGGTGGAAAACCTCTCTGTGTGTCTCCCTCCCCCCCTCTCTATTAACTCTGCTTCTCAAGTAAATAAATAAATCTTAAAAAACAAAAAAACTGTGTGTTCCCAGCCACCATCAACTATACTTCTTAGAAGCTGGCCCAAAAGAAACTTTATATTTGTGGGATGTCTTTTAAATCAGGGGTGGGGAACCTCCTTTCTGTCAAGGGTCATTTAGATATTTACAACATCACTCAAGGGCTACATAACACTATCCTCACCCACTTTAAACAAATGAATCCTCTAAGCATCTATAGTAGACCGTTGCACAGACAGATGCAATGACTCCTCCCACCCTATTCACACGCACCTATGTCACCCGGCCCTCCCACGCCTCCCACCATCAAGAAGTGGAGCTGAATTCCTAGAATCTTCCAGACCTGGCTGTTTGACTTACTTTGACCAACGTGATATGAACAAAAAGACACAAGCTGAAACTTGGCTTTAGCTACACTGGAAGCGGGAGACCACCGGGTGAAGATGGCTGGCCTGACTTATTAGAGACACAGGGCATCTTACACCACCTGGTTCTGGTCAAGTCAGACGGCCGTGGCACAGGAGTCACTCCAACAGCGAATCACTAAATGCAAGTCCAGCCCTGACCGCCGACCCACAGAAAGATCAGCAAATAATGCAGTCGTTTCAAATCAAACAAGACAGTATCACAGAAGCCTTCCCCAAGTGCCCCGAAATCCTATGCAAAACTTCAAGAGTGGCACGTGTGCTTTCCTGAGACCAGGATCTGTATTTTTTTTTTTTTTTTGACAGGCAGAGTGGACAGTGAGAAAGAGAGAAAGGTCTTCCTTTTGCCGTTGGTTCACCCTCCAATGGCCGCCACGGCCGGCGCACCGCGCTGATCCGATGGCAGGAGCCAGGTGCTTCTCCTGGTCTCCCATGGGGTGCAGGGCCCAAGCACTTGGGCCATCCTCCACTGCCTTACCGGGCCACAGCAGAGAGTTGGCCTGGAAGAGGGGCAACCGGGACAGAATCCGGCGCCCCAACCGGGACTGGAACCCGGTGTGCCGGCGCCGCAAGGCGGAGGATTAGCCTAGTGAGCCCCGGCGCCGGCCGGATCTTGTAGTCTTTATCGGGTTCTCAAAGGGATCCGTGAGCCAAGTAAAAACCCATCAGTGCCGAGCATGATTTCTGCTTGCAGAAGCTCGCCGCCTTCACTTGAGCCTGACCCCACCAAACCTCGGGAAAGGAAATCGTATCTACACTGCTCACTCCCCAGCGTCCTCCCCTATTCCACACACAGGAGACTCGCAGGAGTCCAGTGCGGTGAGAATGTGGACGTCAAATTTCCTTCCCTCTCCTGCATATCCAATCGGGTGCATAATAAAGCAGTAAGATTCATTCCCAAGCAAGAGGCGGCCAAAAGCGGTTGACAGACCAAGATGTGAGTTACCTGAAGGCCTCTTGGAAAACTACGAGGCCATTACCAAGTTGTCCCCGTTATTCCAAGGATGGTACTCACTAGGATCGCTAGCTCCAGGTCATCCAGCAGACCGTGTACACACCTCTGCATGCCGAAGCTTCTCCCCCAGGAGCAAAGGCCGGCCCCCGGGATCATCCACGGGGCCAGGCCCTCGCCCGGGGAGGTGCTGACACAAACAGAAACCCCCAGGGGCCGGAAACCAAGCCAGGGCGGTGCGCCCCGGTGCCGGTACCGTTAGAAAGAGCTCTCGGCCAGGTGTCCCTCAGGAAGGAGCCACGCCCCGCCTGGACCGCAAGCGGGGAGCATCACCGGGGGCGGGGTGGCCCTCGGGCCCCGGGCTGTGCGCGCGTTACACCGCGGAGGACAAAGGCGGACAAGGCGCCCGCCTGGTCCTCCCGGCGCTCTGGAGGCGCACGGAGTGCCGGGATCCAGCCAGCGAGTCGGGAAAGCTGCACCCACCCGCGCCGGCTGGGCTCCGGGCCCGGTCGGTCCTTCTTTGAGCCTGCACACCCCGCGCAGCCTGTGCGGCTCCAGCGAGACCGGCCGGCCGGGGAGGGGCACGCGGAGCCCGCGGCTCTGCCCAGGCCCCCGCACACTCACTCACCAGTTTGGTGGCCCGGTACGGCCCTGGCCCCACAATGCGGTGCTCCATGGCCCGCACGCAGATGCGGCCTCGGCCGCGCCAGCGCCAATCCTCACGAGCCGGCGGCTCCGCAGTTTGAATCTCGAGCCCGCGGACCCTGGGCGCTGATTGGGCGGCGGCGGCGGCGGCACGTGACCGGAACTGCGCGGGGTGGGCGGGGCGTCCGGCGTCTCCGCGGAGACGACCCGCAGCCGAGGCTCCGTGGCTGCGGCGCCGCGCCGGGGGAGAGTGCGCTCGGCCCACCCTAGCGGCCCGGCGCGCCCCGCGGCGGTGCGGGGAGTCTGTACCCCGCACAGAGCCCAAAGCACCCTGACGCTCTATGCGGAGACCTCAAAGGACTTCTGGTTTGCGGTGCCGGGAGCCCAGCTCTGGCCTGCGGAAAGAAAGCCGTGTCCGCCCGGCCGGTGCGCCCCGGACTCGGGCTCGAAGATTGCGCGAAGCGGGTAGTGAAACGGGGAGGGTTGTCAGCCTGCATCCAAGCGGAAGGACCTTCGGAAACCCGCTGAAGAGCACGCGGCCCCGAGCCGGGTGGATGGAGTGTGAGAGCACTAGGGCTTCCTTTTGTCCTGAGGAAGTCTTTGCCTCGCATCTGAGCTCTTTGCTTTGCAAGTCCTGGACTGTGGGGCCGTGGGGCTGTGAGTCCTTTTATGCAGCCCGGAATATCTCCTCCACACGCCTCCCTCCCTCCAGGGATTTGAAGTCCAGCTCGTTCAAAGGGACAAATGAGGTCGCCCCTCTATATACCCGCACCCAGAGTTCAAAGTTCAGGTCTAGTCATCCCAGTGAGTGCCCAGGGTAAGACTTCCCAGACAGAGTTGAGGGATGCATCAGACTCCCACCTTGACTCACCTGTTTCCCCCGTCCGTCACTTTAGGTAGGTACTAAGCTGCACGAAAACGTTTGGGTTATAGAACCCCAAACCCTGGGTACACGGGCCCACTGACAGGCAGCGAGCCGATCGCTCACGCCAGGGTAGCGGAAGAAATCAGGTTGTGATTTTGTGGTGCACAGACCGAGGGGGGCGGATTCCCAGACTCCACGGGATTCCGTGCTGGATTTTGAGGCCGGAGGTGAGCAGCGCGCGATGAGCTCCTGTGCGGATGTGTGGCTGGTGCACACCGCTCAGGACCTGCCTCTGACTCTAGCCGAGCAGGCGCACAGGCTGCCTGGCTTCCGCAGGTAGATGGCTGTTACTTGGTTTGATCAGGACCCCAGGTCCCTGGGAAGCATCTCAGAATGGGGTCTGACATTAGCATATTAGCCACAGAGGTGATCACTGAATCTGACGTTTCTCTTTCTTTAGGGAGTTAATCTTTACTAAGGAGTTGTAGTCATCAAAGTTGAGAGAGGGACTAAGGCCTGATAAAATTGTGGGGCCACCCTTGTGGCATAGACAAAGATGCCGCCTGCAGTACCAGCATCCCATACGGGCTTGGGCTTGTGACTTCCCATCCAGCTCCCTGCTAATGGCCTGAGAAAGCAGCAGATGATGATCAGTGTGCTTGGGCTCCTGCTCCCACGTAGGAGACCTAAAAGAAACTTCTGGCTCCTGCCTTCAGCCTGATCCAGCCCTGGCTGTTGCAGCCATCTGAGGAGAGAACCAGCAGATGAGCAGATGGAAGATTGTGTGTGTGTGTGTGTGTGTGTGTGTGTGTGTTTCAAATAAATAAGTAAATCTTAAAAAAAAATCTGATAACATTTACATGAAAAGTATTAGGAGGACCAGTGTTTGAAGCAGTGGTCAAGATGCCAACATCTCATGTTAGGGTCCCTGGGTTCAAGTCTCTTTTCTGCTCCCCACTCCCAGCTTCCTGCTGAGGCATACCCTCAGGGAGCATCACCTGATGGCTCAAGTGAATGAGTCTTTGCCACCTGTAGGGGATTCCAGAGTTGAATCCCTGCTTCTGCATTGGCCTGATCCAGCCCCAGCTACAGTGAACATTTGGGGAATGAATCAACAGATATAAGATCTTTCTATATCTGTCACTCTTTCTGCCTTTGAAATTAAATTTTTTAAGGTAGTAAAAAAAAAAGATATTGGGGGCTGGCTCTGTGGTATAGCGGGTAAAGCCACCGCCTGCAGTGCCGGCATCCCATATGGGCACCGGATAGCATCCCAGCTGCTCCACTTCCAATCCAGCTCTCTGCTATGGCCTTGGGAAGCAGAAGATGGCCCAAGTTCTTGGGACCCTGCACCCACGTGGCAGACCTGGAAAGAGCTCCTGGCTCCTGGCTTAGATCGGTGCAGCTCCAGCCATTGCAGCTAATTGGGGAGTGAACCAGCAGATGAAAGACCTCTCTCTCTCTCTCTCTCTCTCTCTCTCTCTCTCTGTAACTCTGAGTTTCAAATAAATAAATAAATCTTCAAAGAATTATGTTGGGGTAGGGGTTTAGTTTCCCTAGGATGATGCATTTTTTTTTTTTTTTTTTGAAAGGCAGAGCTAAAGAGAGACAGAGGCTGCAACAACTGGAGCTGAGCTGATCTGAAGCCAGGAGCCAGAAGTGTCCTTTCGGTCTCCCATGTGGGTGCAGGGGCCCAAAGACCTGGGCCATCCTCTGCTGCCCTCCCATGCCATAGCAGAGAGCTGGGTGGGAAGCAGAGCAACCAGGTCTCAAAACGGTGCCCATGTGGGATGCTGGCACTGCAGGCGGCAGCCTTACCTGCTACACCACAGCACCAGCTCCTATGTATTGCTTTTGTAATTAGAAAATTCAATAAACGCAGTTTTGTGTGTTTTTTTTTTTTTTACTTGCAGTGAGTGAATCTTTATCGCAACTTTTTTTATATATATAAAAAAAAAACCTCCAGTCTCTGGAGAGATCTGCTTGTCCTTGGCAGGGACTACCAAGGGATATGTGTGCCTTTGGCACAAGAAGTTGAAGAGAATAAATCAGAGCCTTGTGCGTCTGAGCTGTGCCACCACCTACCATGGTGGCAGAACTGGAGTCTGAGAGCAGAACATGGCCACCCTTGAATTACGCAGATTTCCTCTTTTATAACATCACAGACACTGACTTGGGCAGGTTGGATTTCAATGACTGGTATTACTTATGGGCCCAGGGACAGGACTTTAGGCCTGACTCACTGGTAAGAGGGAAATATTGATGATTGTCTTGCAGCGTTGTAGGGATTTAGATTATGCATGTAGCAGCAGCTGAAAAAAAACTCCTTGAAAAAAATTGTGCCACCTCCTGGAACATTTGTTCCACAGTCCACTGTGAGCTATAGATACAATCCTGTCTTCAAAGGACCTACACAGCAGAGGCCACAAAGACAGCCCTTGTGAATTTAGTTTCAATGGGGCTGGGACCGTCTGTTAGGCTTTCAGTGTCACATAAGAACATTTGATAAATTTCTCACTCTCTCTATGCCCAAAAGATTGGTGGTTTCTAGCTTTTTTTTAAAGATTTATTTTATTTATTTGAAAGGCAGGGTTACAGAGAGAGAATTAGAGACAGAGAAGGAGATCTTCATCACTCCAATGGCCAAAACAGACTGGGCTAGGCCAGGCCATAGCCTGAAATTCCATCTAGGTCTTCCATACGGGTGGCAGGGGCCCAAGAACTGGGCCATCTTCTGCTACCTTCCAAGGTGCCTTAACAGGGAGTTGGATCAGAAGCAGAGCAGCAGGGACTTAAACTAATGCTCTGATATGGGATGCCCATTTTGCAGGCATCGACTTAACCCACTACAAAACACTGTAGTTTTTTTAAAGATTTTTTTTTTTTTTTTTTGACAGGCAGAGTGGACAGTGTGAGAGAGAGAGACAGAGAGAAAGGTCTTCCTTTTGCCGTTGGTTCACCCTCCAATGGCCGCCGCTGCAGCCGGCGCACCGCGCTGATCCGATGGCAGGAGCCAGGATCCAGGTGCTTTTCCTGGTCTCCCATGGGGTGCAGGGCCCAAGCACCTGGGCCATCCTCCACTGCACTCCCTGGCCATAGCAGAGAGCTGGCCTGGAAGAGGGGCAACCGGGACAGAATCCGGCGCCCTGACCGGGACTAGAACCCGGTGTGCCGGCGCCGCAAGGCGGAGGATTAGCCTATTGAGCCACGGCGCCAGATTTTTTTAAAATTTATTTGAGAGGTACAGTAACAGGCAGAGAAAGGTCTTCAATCTACTGGTTCACTCCCCAAATGACAGCAATGGCTACAGCTGGGCCAATCTGAAGGCAGGAGCCAGAAGCTTCTTCCAGGTCTCTCATGTGGGTGCATGGGCCCAAACACTTGTACCGTCTTCTACTGCTTTCCCAAGCACATTAGCAGGATGGGAACTGGAGCAGCCAGGACTCAAACCAGTGCACATACTGGATGCTGGCGCCACAGGTGGAGGTTTAACCTGCTGCACTCCGGCGCCAGCCCCCAGTGTAGTTCTCTGACCTCTGTTCCAGCCAAGCTGATCTGTAAGCAGGCTGTGTTTCCACCTCTCAGCCTTTGCACTGTTACCCTGCCAAGAATGGTCCTGCCCCAGCTCCTGGCACAGTCACCTCCAGGTCACTGTCAAGACTCAGTTCTCACCTACAATCCACCTACAGAAGTCCTCCCCTCACCTCCCTGTGTAGACAAATCTCACTCGCTCACCCTTGGCTTGGACTGTTTATTTTCTTCACAGCACTTACACGTATCTAGAATTGTTTACTTTTCTTGTCACCTACCTAAGGGTTATCCAAACATAGGTTTCACCTTCTGGGATCATTTTGGACATTTGTGGGCATATGTGCTGGTTTCCAAAAATATGGGAGAGTCCTACTGGTGTTTTCTGGCTGGAAGTCGGTGGAGCTGGATGTCGTTTGATGCCTTAAGTCAGGCTGCACATCCAACAGTTCCCCCTAGTTCTGAGTGGCCTTT